TCACTTCTTGCGTGCTAAATTATCTGTCTGAGACAGACGCAAAGAAATGGTGGATACTATTCATCTTATTTCTTGCGTGCGGCAGTGTTTGGTGCTTCATTGCAGCTAACAAGAAATTGGAGAAAAGGTAAAGGATAACTCTGGAGGAATCTCTCGAGCAAAAGCCCCAAATTTAAATGGCCGGCGTTGTAAAGATTCAGGAGAGCAAGAGGCAAAAACACCATTACGATTTACGATGAAAAAAGGACCACATGATTGTAATTTCAAAAAAGGTGATGCCAACATGGCATATTTTTCCATGCGAAATACACGCTTCTAAACATTTAATGCACACCCGTGCACGGGTCCGACACTCACTAAGGTTTTGTTTGAGTGAAGGCAAAAGGGATAGCACAGAAAATTTCTACAAGTTCATTATTGGAATTTCTTGTTTTGAATTATGAAGAGATTATGATCAGGTAATTAGCTCTTGCTGAGCTGATATTTCATGTACTCCAATTTGGTATCATTGCTTGAACAACAACAGAGTAAACGAAAAGTGAGTAGCTGGTAAATAGTCTTGCCCTTCAAATAAGTATTTGGTTTAGTTGGGTGTTAGCTTACTCCCCCTCCCCCCCCCCCCCCCCCCCAAAAAATTTTTTTTTCAATCTTGCAAAATTTATATCTCGAGAATTCTTTTCTTCAATCTAGTTTTCAGAAAAAATACTTACACAACGATGTTTTACTTTCCTTTTGTCGTAACAAATCTGCATTTTCTAAACTTTTTTTCCTAATGCTACAATAAAATTTCAGCTAATCATATAACTCAAATAACCATTCACTAAATGCTGCTTTCTTTGTACTTTCTTTCTATTCCCCCCCTCCCCAACTCAAAAAAAAAAAAAAAAAACTCTGTTGTTTTGCTTTAGCTCTTTTCCTGAAGAACATCGCACATAATTTTTCTGCTACTTAAACATGCTTGCAATTTTTCTTTTAGTTGAGAAATTGAAGGAGAATAAAAAGAACAGAGACAATAGGATCCAGCCTTTTATCACGTGGGAGTTAAATGGAGGGAACTCTCCGTCACACAAACCTTATATTCATTGAAGGTTGAACCAAAAGAAAAAAATAGTAATGAAACATTAATCCAATTTTTTCTTTTTTGGGGAAGTTCTCTTTTTCTATAGTAACTACCAAACTAGGCCTTAATCTTCGTAGTGTACAACCTCGTACAGTAGAATGCTAGGGCAGGTATATAAGTTCACAGTCTCTACCCTCAGCTCTGTGTTCTAAGCTCCCAAAATAAATCCACTTAGCTGCAAGCCAGCAACCATCCATCTGCTTCAAATCCTACAATAAGCTAATATGTCCACCATTTCGATGGTCATGGTAATCTTACTGTCCATGGTAATTAATGATGACCTCGAATATTATCACATTTATCATCCTCCATCGTCAATGTTTATAGAAGACAAGGAACAAGGGTACTGCCGTTCTCCAGCTGCACCTGCTGATGGAGACGGAGATGACGACGACGATGACGGTGATGGAGGATATGATTATGCTCCAGCTGCTTGAAGTTTTCATCGGGGCTTTACCAATACCCTAGTTTTTATACCATCAGCCAAACCCTAGTTCTTGAATACTAAATCCCATATTTTATTTAAACCCTAAAATTTTAAGACCGCTAATAGAGTGTATCTATCCCCTTGTACAAGGTTATCCAAGAATGTCTTTCACTTAGTTGAAATAAGGACAATATGTATGTAGTGCTTTCTAAGGAAGAAATCCTGCAGTTGATCGTTATATGCAGCCCTAATTTCTTGGCTTTGCATCTATTAAATCAGTACGCTGCGAAAGTTTGAGGTACTAGTGAATGAGTCGTTTCTTGCTAGTCACTTTTTATACCCTAAGGATTATAAATTCCAATGGTTTGTGAATCCATACATGTTCATGCTTTATCTTTCTTTTTTCTTTTTTCTTTTTTGGGGTCCTGGTAGGCCATGTTCATGTTCATGTTATCAAAAAGGCCTCCAAAATATTAATTAGGAATTATAGTTCCATTGCAATTTCTATGGTCAAAATTATGTAATTACTGTGGCTTATACGTACATAAACAATCCTGGAATGGCCTCCATATCTCAATAATTGTCTCATTTAGAGGGTGAATGAGCATTTGCGACAAAAGGTTAATCGTTTTTGGTAAAGGAAATGGAGTAGGGTTTGGAACTTTTCCAGTTCTGACTGAGCATTTTGTCACGCAAAAGCACGATATAATGTATAATGGAGCTCCATCATCTCAATATTTCTTGCACCAAGATGAAAAGGGCTAATCAAGCCATTGAAGTTTCGTACTCATAATTTGAATTATCTATATCTTTTTCATACATTTGATTACTTTTAGGTTGGATATATATCTAATTACTAATTGTTACAGGAAGTATAAGTTTTAGATGGTTCCGTTTCTCATGGATTTATATATCCAAACAGTGTTCAGTTTGGAGAAAATCTATCTCAAATTGTCTCTTCGAGACTCCAACAGATTGGTTTGGGGGATCTAGTGGCATCTTATTCACTTGAGCGCCGCCCTATATATCCAAAAATGGTCCCATGCTTATTAGTTACAAGATTAATCTCATATACATTCTCAATATATGCACTATCACCATTAGCTATATGTTACATGTGTAAAATTTGAATTTAAAATCAAAATTTGCTCATATGTCATCCATCCAATTGTGATAGTGTATATATTGACAATGTATATAAAATTTACTCTAAGTTAAAATCTACTTCCCATCGTTACTTTCAAGAAAATTGTTGGGTAAATTACATGTAATTCCTTTGTAGTTTCATCTGTTGTCACGTGATCCCTTTAAAGTTTCAAAAGATCCACTTCACTGCCCCATGATTTTATGTAAAATGAAAATTTGACGAAAAATAATTATGTACCGTCGGTAGTTAAAATATCAATAGTGTCTTTACTTAAATGCAAAATTAATAAATGGTTTAACCATCATGTATGCAAGTATAAGGAGATTACATGAATGAATGCAAAAATCATAAGAATTAAAGTGAATATTTATACAAATTATAAGGGAGTACATGGATATTAAGATTTTATTACATGTGCTTTAAAGCCCGTTTGGTGTCCATTTTCTAGTTTACATAAAACCACACGGGGATTATGTGGCTATTTTAAACTTTATGGGGGTTATCTGGCATTTTGTAAAATTACAGAGGGGTAATAAGTATTTTACCCAAAATTGTTTGCCCTAGACGTCGTGCTTCAATTAAATTTTCTAACTTTCGCATTATCTTAAAAGTGATCCTCGAATGAACTAATATGGCAAAATTTTCCACTTAAGGTTGAATAGTTGCTGGAAGTGGAGGCTCCAGCCTGGAACAACTTTTTTATAGGTATGTCTAACAAGCGTTCTACTTAAAAAACCTTGCCATTAAAGGCTTGGTGAGGTGGGAGACAAGGGTTCAGACGCTTGGTGTAGTGCACATTAAGTTGTCTCCCACCAACTACCACATTAAGTGGCTTCTTAAAAAATTCAACAGGTGTGTAATGCACCCGTCTGGTCCGATGGTGATTCAATTTCCATCGACCCCCCTAAACCCAGTTGGGTCTGCCCCTTATATTAGGATACTATAGGATACTATGGATAAGAAAAGTGACGATTGACAAAAAAAAATGCATTCTACTTGCAGAAATAGGAATACGAATAATTTCGAATACCTTCTCCTGAAATTTCTGACAATTTTACTGACCTCCTCTGAGATTTGAAAAATTACACCTATCTCCCTTGATTTGATAGTTTTATTAACAAAATTTTAAAATAATATTGGATTAATGCTCTTGTGTAATGAGTTTTAATTTACTTTTCCATACAATAAGATTATCTAGTATAATTATAAGAAAATGTGCCAAATTTTTCATGTCTATACTTACTATTTAATAAATAACTATAATAATAATTTTATCACTATGGTAGAATATTTTTTATGGTATTTTATTATGAATTTAAATTTATAAGATAGAAAAGAAGATGTTGAAATAATTCATTTAGAGTTTAGAAATTTTTTGAGTAGTGGGATTATCATAATTTAGTAGTGATTTTGGGTAATTTCCTTTTGATTTATTGTTAATTTTAATACCAAAAAAATAGAAAATAAATATCAGCAAAAACATTGGATTGCATATAAAGTTAATTTATCAAAAAAATCACTAGTTCGATATTTGATTACAATAGAAACTATAGGTAATAGTGGTAGTTCTATAGTTTTATTGGCAAAAAATTCAAAAAAAAAAAGGAATAAGAAGGAAAAGAATAAAAAAATTTTAAAAGTCATTCTAAGTATAAACATACAAAATAAGGGAATTTCATTAAAATATTTAAGGATAGTATTGTCATTTTAAATAACAAGGGAGGTATATATAATTTTTAAAATCTCAAGAAACTAAATGAAATTATTAAAAACCTCAAGGGAGGTTTTTGAAATTATCCCATAGGAATATGAATGTCGACATTTTTTGAAATTTGAATGCTCAAAATGTGGTCATGACTCTTGAGTCCATTCCCCATGCTCCACGGTAGCAGCTCGACCACATGCCTGATTTCACATCATGATTGTGGTTCCGGAGTCTCTCCACTTCCAGTTCCAGCAACCAAAGTAGTCCCCGTCTCATTGAAAGTGCTACGCTCTCCATTTTAGAATGGTCCAAGATATTTATCACGTGAGAAAAGTCAAAGCAAATTTTAGTTTGTCTTTTCAATATAATTCTTATTTTTAAGAGTGAATGGCCCAAAAGGTCATTAAACTATTAAAAATGGCACCCTTTCGTCATCAAACTTTTTTTGTGGTCCAAAAAGTCACTAAACTCACAAAAACGCACTAGCGAGGTCATTTTACTGATTTTTAGCAGTTTCTCATCCGGTGGCACCGGCAAGGTGGAGTGGAGGAATATTTTTTAAGGGGTAAAAATGTCCAATAAAATATGACAGACCTGTTTTGTCCCCGCAAGCCATGCCCTTGGATCTAAAACTTCATTGAGCCCTTCTTTCATCTATTAGACAAATCTTCTTTCATCTTCCCCATTCTTGCGGCTCACCACTTCAAAATCTACTCTTGTGGCTCTCGGAATGCCATGACTATAATAGACTCCGACAAGACTCTTATTTGCCTCCGCAACGCCTGCAATTTCGTCGGCAACCTCGTCAGGTTAAAAGGGCAGTTTCTTTTCGTCAACACCAACACCCTTTTCGACGAAATCATCGAGGAAATGACGAAAGCTATTGGGATTAAGAATGACAAGTCGTGGCGTCTTGAAGGCTTTTTAACAAACAGTTCGAGTCCCAAAAAGTTTCGCGGCCGGAATAAGAAGTTGAACTTGGGAGCCATTCACGCTCCTGATTGTGTGGTGATTTTCGATACGGAGAGGAAGTCTTCGGTTATTTTGGAGGCTGAATGGTTGCAAGTTCCGATTGTGGGGCATGTTGATTCGAGTATGCCGTGGGAAACTTATAAGAAGATTACTTATCTGGTGCGTGCCAATGATTCAGTTCAATTTGTTTACTTATTTTGTAATTTGATCACTAAATTTTTTTTGTATGAGCAAAGAAAAATGAAGACTGCACAAGGGGCAGATGATTTAACCGCTGGGACTCGGTATGAACTCTACTAATTTTACTTTTTGTGTTCATTTTTGAAGAAAGAAGATTTCTCTCTGAATAGATGAAAGAGAGACTCAATGAACTTTTAGATCTAAGGGCACGGCTTGCGGGGACAAAACAGGTCTGTCATATTTTATTGGACATTTTTGCCCCTTAAAAAATATTCCTCCACTCCACATTGCCAGTGCCACCGGATGAGAAACCGCTAAAAATCGGTAAAATGACTCCGCTAGTGCGTTTTTGTGAGTTTAGTGACCTTTTAAGCCACAAAAAAAGTTTGATGGCCAAAGGGTGCCATTTTCAATAGTTTAGTGACCTTTTGGGCCATTCACTCTATTTTTAATCGTATGCATATTATCATTCAAATTTAAAATTTGAATTTATAGGGGTAAAATTGAAAAAAGAAATACAAACATCACAATCAAATCACTATTTTTAAAAAGTTGAATTTCCGAAACATAACTAAATAATTGGAACGGAGGGAGTAGTAGGGTTGTAGCACATGAATGATGAAACTGTAGTGCGAAAATTTGGAGCAATGCAAAAATAACTCTCTTAGGGGGTATGTTGGTCGTTGAATTGTAGTAATCAAGGATATAAAGCTTCTTAGAATATTCGATCAATGGATGTTTAGCTTGGCTTTGTGCACATGCGATGCATACGTAAACAGCAGTACCGTAATCAAATCAGGTCCGTTAAAATGTGCTCTTTATCTTCATTAGGCCTATATTTATAAATATTAGCGGGGAATAGCACATACTATGTGTGTGCACATTAAGCAAATATTTTTAAAGCAAGGAAAAAAAAAAGGGCATAATTTTTTTTTGGAGATTATTGAAAATTTTTTGGTGATTAAAACGTGAGTATATTATGTTGAATTTTGAAAGGATACACTTCAAATAAGAAAAAATAATGATATAATTTTTTAACATCAAACTCGTGAGCCATCCATTATATATGGAGTGATATATAGAATTCAGCCTCAAACATAATAAGTGTACAGCGTTGATGTCGTTTCAAGAACCGACCGACCAGATTGTGTGATGTGGCAGTTTTAATTGTTTACTTCCTTTTTAAAAAAAAAAAATTAAAGTCATGCATTTGTGGCCCAACGACATGGTGGACGTCACCGGTCTTGTCTTCCCGTACTCGATTTTGTCCGATGAATCGATATTTTAACCATAAAATTGTACTTACGTCTCCTGGTAACTATTTTACCCCAAAAAGAATGGAGTATTACGGTATATGGAAACAAGACAGTAGTGATGCATGATAGATACTATAAGAAACAGTTTCCTGGATTATGATCAGCTGATCATATGATTTGTCTGTCAACCGAAAAAATTCTTCCCATGTCCGCACCGGAGAGTAGTTCCTGCGTACCAAACCCCGTTTATTTTACTCCAGAGCCACACTGAACATAAAGATGAACATTGAATGTTAGGAGGAAAGATTGTAAGTAAACCTTTAAGACCTCGACATTTATTTGATAAAAAAAAAAAAAGAAAAAAAGCAAGTAGTAGAAGGACGGTTAACATTTTGTTGAGTGATGAATAAATTTGATGGTACGGAAGAAGTAATTCAAGAGATATGTCTCGAGTTTCAACACTTTCACTTATATTAAAAAAAGTTTTTTTTAAAAAAAAACTGATATTACTGACGTGTCATATGAGATCTCCGACGTGGTTAAGGGACCAGTGGCACACACGTAATCGGCGTCGGGATGTTGTCATAATCCCCGTGCCAGCCCTGCGCTGCACCACGCCTCCCCTGCTTCCGATCCACTTCTATAGTTTTATATACTCCCCTGCTACCCAGTCTTCCTTTACACCAAGTCCAGTCTAATCAACAAAAAAAAAAAAAAACTTCTCCAATACGTAGTCCTCGTACTTCACTTACCAGAAGTATATTTAAATTTTCCTTTTCCATTTTTGTCTCCTCGGTGAAGTTTGAGTTGATCCGACTACCCGACAAGAGAAAAAAAATAAATGTCGATTGCTTTTAGGAACGTCATTATTGAGTCGTCATGGTACGAGAAGAAGATGAGGAGGCAGCACGCAGATGGAGATGACGATGATGATAATGGCGGCTATGATTATGCCCCAGCCGCATGCGTTGAAGGCGATGGCGACGACGATGACGGAGATTATGACTATGCTCCGGCTGCATCCCTGGAGGAGGAGGGTGATGACGACGATGACGATGACGATGACGGTTATCATTGTGCTCCAGCTGCATGAACTTCATTTACTTCACCCAAAATTTCATACTTGCACCTGGGAATCTTTTCGCATGTTCTTTTTTTTTTTTTTTTTTTTATCAAATCGAACCTTCCAAGTTACAACTCAATTAGTATTGATTAATTGTAGTATTCCTCGTTTCTGATATTTTAGTCTCAGAACCCTAATAGCGAAATCTATTAACTTCCTTTTGCCGGATTTTTATATTTTCTGGTTCTGCTGCTCTTTTTGGTTTGTTTAATTGTACTGCTAACGTTACGTGGGTTGCAGTGCTGTTTACGTATTTTTGGACTTTGACCGACCAGAGTTTTTTAGGCTTCCAGTCAGTCAGAGTGATAATTTAAATAAAGTCACAATATTACATAATTTATTTGTGACAGTATAATACTACCATCAGCATGAAGAAATTTTGCAACTGACGTGTTTTAAATTTCTTTTCAAACGACAAAGCACAACTGAATGGGCTCTCTTTGGGGTCGCGGGGCTTATAAAAGAGAAAGAGGAGGAGGAGGAGGAGGAGGAGGAGGACAGAAAAAAACAAGGGAAGGAGGGTGTCAGTTGGCAGTGATGGGTTGAGGTAAGGGAGGAGGAGGAAGAAAAAAAAGGAAAGAAAGGAAAAAATTGTGTGTGTTTTTGTAGCATGTATTTTAAAACTCTTGGGGATATTTTAGAGGGTTATTATAGTTAAAGTTGCTACAAAATTTATCTATTAAAAATCGGCCAAAAAACCCGTCTCCCAAATAGAGCCGTAATTTCACCTCCTCTCCCATAGAGACAAATATTAATTGCAAAGAGAACAGTTTTCCTTAACTAAAATGAATACGCAAGAAAATAATTTGTTGGCTTTGTTTGAACAGAGGATTATTTGTCAAAATTTATTTGCTTACATCATCATTACAATTTCCAACACACCTTTTTATCTTTTCAATTACCTTTTTATCTCACATACATCACATCACAATTTCCAACACACCTTTTTATCTTTTCAATTACCTTTTTATCTCACATACATCACATCACAAAAAGTGCTACAGTAAAAATATCTCAAATAATTAACAATCCAAACAGAGTAATTAATGATATCCTATTGGTTAAGAAAGTCATAACAATTTTGCCCAAATTAAATGGATGACGCAGCTAGATACCTTGCTGATAAGTGACGGGGGCAGATTTAACCTATGGATAATTGGAAGTCAGTCTTCCATTGTGTCGTGTCATAGCGATATCCAATAATGATCCAACAGGACCGGTACTACAACTCAAAACAGGTAATATCTGGTAATACTCGTTCATAAGTCCCTGGAAGGACCTCAAGAGTTGCCGGCTTTTGAGGTTTCTTCTGGGATTAGGTTTATAAAAGCCGAATTTCTAGACTTCAGTTTAGAAAAGGTCAAGAAGTGGTAATACTCGTTCAAAATTCAACATTCAATGACTTGGCAGAGTACTTGCAGGCCCGTGCTTTTGCTGATTGATGAGTTGTAATCTACATGTTTACATGCATGATTCACTTCAACATATCTCGTGTAAAACTGGATGTGGGTGATCAGCATAAAACCCCCCTGGCGAATGTCAGCCAGGTGTTGCTTCCGTTTCTTTGCTCTTTAATAAAGGAAAAACAAGCCATAATAAGATCCTTATCCTTTCTGAACATGTAGCTTGGCTACATTCTTCACGTAAAAATGGCATCATCTACGTTTAGCTGTCACCAGTCACCACCATGCACAAAAACTTTCAAACTCTTTTGACTGATTCTGGACTGACAATTCGCCTTTTTGCCCATCCATGATGGTGAACTATTGACTTGCCAGCCAATGTGCTTGCTGACTTGTCATATGAATATCCGATCTGGAGTGCAGTTTCCTGATCTGGCAAAGCTATTTGATGCCACATACAACCCGAGTTGGGTATTCACATCCATCAGGTACCACTCCACAAATTTCCACGAGCTAGCCCTGTGCCAAATTCGGTATACCAGTGCTTATTAGAACTCGCTTATACAAGCTTTTATGGCATCCTCATCCATGCAATCCCACTTCCCGTTTCTTTCCCAGTCGCACTCTTCAACCCAGAAACCATCCATTTTTCCAACTACTTGCCCGAAGTACAAGAAGGCCATCCAAATGGATTTGATGAGAGCATACCAAAGAATCATGCTCCAGCAGAATGTCTGGAAGGAGATGAAGACAATGTTAGGCGGTTTAAAACTGTGCTCTGGCAGGATTCCTGGAAATTGATGATGTTGGCAATGATCAGGGGCCAGCTGCACGAATGCACCCAAAGTAGAAATATATATCAACAAATTCATATCACTTGGACAGTCAAGCAAACCAGCAAGAAGCCAGTGAAGGTTGTAATGATTAAAAAAGACTAAATGATTTCAAATAACACCAATGCTTTGTCAGTTGTGCTCGAATTCAGGCTCACATAACAGCTTAGGCCTTCAATCTGCTAATATTATTATATGGGGACTACTCTGAAGAAAACGCTAACTTCGTTAAGCATGTATTTATGGTGCAATCCATTTTATTAGCTCGTAAGCAAAATTCTATTGCGGTTTTTCTTGTTTAAGTGGGCAGTTTAGTTCTTTCTGGTATAGGAAAGAAAATTGCTTGATTGGCAGCTAGTAATGACAGCAATCATATTGAATGGTCTCTGTTATGAGTAAGAACAGCAACTTAGCCATGGTGATAGTTCATGTCACTCTCCAAAGAAAAAATTACATACACGACTTTCAGATACGTTTGAGTTGTGTTTAGTAGTTGAGCCGGACGAATTACGAGAAGACAATTTCCTCAATGACAGCTTAGTAATTCATAGTAATAAGGCTTAAATATCTAGGCAGATTAACAATTGCATTCTTGATTTTCATTTTAAGGTAACTTCACAGTTCACATAAACCCGGCTGGCACAAAGGCTTACTTATATGTGAAAAGTTTCTTTTGTTTGGCCAATGATTCGAGAAATCTCTCCACACATCAGCAATCTTCTATCAAAGTCTAGATATATTAAGCATCATTGTTAACCTAATAGTAGGAACCTCAGAGATCCCTACTCTCTAACAACAATAATTTTCTGATTCACTTAAAACTTGCGACTACAGTAACTATGTGTAGAGCTAGTATGGCTATTACTTACCTGATCTTGTGCTGCCCACTCCCTCTAGACCTGCATGATTTGTGATATGCTTGTGTTTGAAGACCCCCACTTTCGTTGATGCAATTCCCTTGAGTACCTTTCTTGTCAAAGAACAAAACAAGAAGCTGAGCAAATCAAAACACATGCAGCGTGGCAAGGATTGTTGTCTTCATCTGATACTGGCTTTGCTTGTGTTAATTATTCCTCAGCCCTCATTAAACTGATTTAAGTAAAACCAATAGTTTGAGAACCTCTTATCAAAGATGTGAAGTTTACATTTTTTATGTTTCCAGCACTTAAATGTATGATCATTGTCATACTAAAGAACTTCAAAAGCTCTGAAGAACTTCCAGAAGATCAAGGCTTAGAAATCTGAACTACTAGAGTGGTGAAATCACTGATTCCTGATCCATCACAAAAGCACATGCCTTCATTTTGTTGCCTTATTCGGCTTTTGTCTCTTCTATGTGCAATACTGGGCTAGCCATGCTAGACAAAGTGAACTTAGTCTATTTCATTCCAGTGCTGCAAATGGCCAGCAATCAACTCATGTATATTGCTATCAACTTCAATTGAACTGCATCCAGGGGACTTCTTAAATCCAAGGGTGCTCATTTCCCTTCTGACCTTTTTGACATCTTCCCACCTGTTGGCAGACGCATAAATGTTGGCCAGAAGAGAATGAGTACTAGAATCACTACATTGAATTTGTATCAAAATGTTAGCAATGCGTTCACCCATATCGACATCACCATAGGTTCTGCAAGCGCTGAGCAAAGCACCATAAAGGGGTACTACAATTTTGTTATCTTCATTGGGTATATTTGCTATCATGTCTTGAGCTTCCCCTAATAGTCCAGCGCGACCAAAAAGATCTATCAAGCACCCATAATGCTCTAACTTTGGTTCAATGTGATAGACATTTTTCATGGAATCAAAATGTTGGCGGCCTTCCTCTACTAGTCCACCATGACTGCAAGCACTTAAAACTCCAATGAAAGTGATATCATCAGGTTTAATTCCAGCTTGTTTCATTCCTGAGAACAGTTCCAGCGCCTTGCAGGACTCACCGTTCATGGCTAGAGTACAAATAAGAGCAGTCCAGGATGCTGTGTCTTTCTCCTTCAACGTGTTGAAAATTGCCAGGGATTTTTCAATAAATCCACACTTTGCATACATCTCTATCAAAGCAGTGCCGACAACAGCATCTATTGATATCCTGTTTTCCTCAATGCAAGCATGAAGCCATTCCCCTTGTTCCATGGCACCCAACTGAGCACATCCAGTAAGTAAAGTAACCAATGTGAATTTATCTGGTATTATCCTTTCCATTTGCATCTCCCTAAACAAGGCGAGTGCATCATCGACACGATTAAACTGTACATACCCATTGATCATAGCTGTCCAAAGAACAAGATCGCGAACTGGACTTCTATCAAACAATTCTCTGGCATCATCGAGCTTACCATTACTGATATAACCTGAAACCATACTTGTCCAACATATGACATTCCTGTTTGGTATGGTATCAAAAATTTGCCTAGCTATATTCAAGCATCCACACTTGGAATACATATCCAACAAGGCATTTCCAATTATAACAGTCAATTCAAGTTCATTGCTCACATAGTCATGTATTTCTCGCCCAAGTTCCAAATTTCTCAGTGCAGTACAAGCAGATAAAGTACTCACAACCGTAGCCTCATCAGGTTTAAGATTTGCTTCTTGCCTCATCCTCGTATATACCCCAATGGCATCCTCGAATTTATGGCACCTAACAAACCCAGATATTAAGACATTCCACGAGACCAAGTCTCTCTGACGCATTTCGTCAAACACCTTTCTCAAACTGTCCACAGAACCTTCCACGCCATAACAATCCATGATTGAGTTACAAACATAGCAATCAAATCCATCCCCACTTTTCAACACAAAGCCATGAATCTTTTCACCTTCTCTTACCGATTTCAACTCTCCAATGGCCTTAAAAACAAAGGGATAAGTGTAATTATCAGGCCACAAACCGTGCTTTCTTAGCTGATCAAACAAACAAAGGGCTTTTC